AGACAGAGGGCCCTCTTGTCTTGGCTGTTGAAAAAACTGGGTTTTACACTGAGTGAAATGTTGAGCCATTAGAAGGTTTTAAGCAGATATGGTTTGACTTTTATTTTTTAAAAACCACTCTGGCTGCAGAATCAACTGCAGGAAGGCAAAATTGGAATCAGAATCCAGTTGTCAGACTACTGCAGAAATCACCATGAGAGATGACAATGACTCTGACTGATATGGAAGCAGTGGAGCTGGTGAGAAATGGTCAGATTCTGGATATATTTGAAGGAAGGGCCAATAGGGTTTGTTAATGAATCAGATGTAGAATGAGAAAAGAAAGGACTCAAGATGACTCCAAGGTTCTTGTCCTTCACCTCAATAAGTGGAGGATGGAGCAGAGGAAGGCAAGACTAGAAGGTAAAAATAGCAGTAAGAAGGCTCTGCTATGGTATGAGAAGAAATGATAAGAAGCTGAATTAAGGTGATGGCAGTGGGGTGGAAGAAAGGAGAGCCATCATGCAAAAAGTATCCAGGAGGGAGAATTAGCAGGAGTAGGGGATGGACCATATTTGCGAGATGAGAAATGCAGAGGTCTAAGATGACCCCCAAGATTCTAGCTTAAGGTGGGTGTTGTTACTATTAGCGTAATAGGAAAACAAGGCACAAAGACTTTTCAAAATTTGTCCAAGGTGTTAGAGGCTTACAATTTGTAAAACCAGGATTAAACCCAGATGTGTCTGATTTTTAGAGCCTGAGCTCTTACCCATTTCATAAACCATATTTTCCCTAGAGGAGGATTAGTAGGAAAGGAAGCTACTTGTTGGAAAGTATCTTTGTAACAGTGTCTATTCCTCAGTTTGCTCAAGGAGACAGTGTGCCAGGAAAGTCCCTGTGGAAGGGCAAGGAAGAACGGGAAGTTAAAGCCAGTGGCGGGTGATCCAGGAGTCTTTTCTGTTGCTAGACCTGTTACCTGCTGTCCTTTCATGATTTAAAAATAAGAATGCTGGCAAGTGCCAGGCCTGTTCGTGCAGCTTAAGATGATACCTTTCTTGGATATATTTGCATTTTGATAAGGAAAGGTATCTTCAGGTCAAGCTAAGGGATGACATGAGCATTTCCCTGTGGAAAGCACTAAGATCTCCCTTTCTAAAATAAAAACAAGAATACAGCTCACTGAGGACCTTACATTTCCCTCTAGCTACTGACTCATTTCTCTTCTCCTTTCTATAGCACTCTTCTTGAGAGAGTTGCCTATATTTGTCACCACATCTTTACCCATTCTCTTTTGAACCTATTCAAGCTTTCATCTGTACAAAACTCGCTGATACTGTGCTTGTCAGGATCATCCATGACCTCCATACTGCTAAATGCAACTCTCAAGAGTATTTGGCTCTACTGATCACTCCTTTGTAGCCCTGTGTTTTAAAATATAGGTTTTATTATTATTTAGGTATGGTGAGGTCAACATATCAGGAAATGACTGCCATTGAAAAAAGTATGTTGAATTCACAGATCCCAAGAGAAGGGAGCACACCATGCCACAAGGGGCCACATGGGGAAGCACCAGGGTCAGCTGGGAGGGGGATAGGGGGTGGGCAAGATCTTTATTGTGGTTTCAACAGGAAGAAATGTGTGAGGCAGGGTGAATGGAGTTAGGATTAGCTAATATGAATAATTTCAGCAGGCTCTGGGGCATAGGGGCTCTCCCTAGTCTTCTGGTACTTGGCCCTGAGGTGATTAGGGCAGGTGCATAGTGTTGGGAATGTGAAAGCCTCCAATAAATGAGGCAGTTGTTGGTATGGGCTCTGGAATGGGTTGGTTTGCATTTGAAAGGTGTGCTCATGAGCAAGTGGTTTACCCTCTCTTAGAGGTTAGAATTGGCTAACCCTGGGAGGGGCAGTCCCTTCAGGGTCAGCAAGGCCCCAAGTGTCAAAGCATCAGGATACAGAAAATAAAATGCATGGATAATACACACTGCCATTTGTCTTTGTATCCTTCCTCTCAGTCTTCTCTGCTGGTGACCTCTCCTCACAAAGATCTATAAATGTTGAAATATCCCATGTCTCAGTCCTTGGGTACTCCCTTTCCTATCTTTCCATATGTGATGTAATGCAGATATCCATGACTTTAAATCTTTAACACTTCCGCATTGATGACTCCTAAATTTACATCTCTACCCCAACTGCCTACTAAACACCTCCACTTGGGTATCTAATAGGCATTTCAAACCAAATCTACACCAAACAACTCCTTTTCCCCTTCCATAATTGCTTCTCCCTCAGGCTTCTTCATTTTAATAAATAGCATCTCCATTGCCCTAGTGACTCAAGCCCCAAACTTAGGAATTTTCCTAATTTCTCTATTTTTCTCAAACTATATATCCAGCCTGTCAGCAGTTCCCTCAGGTCTTTTTTCAAACTATAGAAAGCCTAAATAAAGGAAAGACATACTGTATTCATGAATTGGAAGACTAAATATTATTTAGCTGGCTGTATTCCCCCAAATTGATCTATGGATTCAATGCAATCCCTACCAAAATTCCAGCTTCCTTTGTCTGCAGAAATGAGCAAGTTGACCCTAAAATTCATTTGAAAATATAAGGAAGCCAGAATAGCCCCCTAAAAAAAAATCTTGAAAAAGACTAACAAAGTTGGAGGACTCACACTTTCCAATTTCAAAACTTACTACAAAACTACAGTAATCAAGACTGTGTGGTACTGACATAGGATAGACATATAGTTCAATAAAATAGAATCAAGAGTCTAGAACTACATCCTTATATATATGATCAATTAATGTTTTGCAAGGGTGCAAATACAGTTCAATAAGGAAAGAATAATTTCATCAACAAACTGTACAGGCACAACTGCATGCCCATGATCAATAGAACAAATTTGGAACTAAAGTTCTTATATTTAGGTTTTTGATCCATTTTGTTTAACTTTTGTTTATGGTATGAGGTAAGGCTCCAAATTTGTTCTTTTGCACGTGGACATCCAGTTGTACAATTGCTCCATTTATATTTATCTTAGCAGAAAATACAGATGTAAATCTTGTGACCTTGACTAGGCCATGGTTTCTTAGATGTGACACCTAAAGCACAACAATAAAAGAAAAAAGTAGATAAATTGGATTTTTTTTACCTAAAATCAATTTGTGTTTTAAAATTAAATAAAATAAAAATTAAAACATTTATGCTTCACAGGATTCTATCAAGAAACTGAAAAGACAATGTGCAGAATGGGAGAAAATATTTCCAAATCATATATTTGACAAATAGTTTGGCAATTCTTCAAAAAGTTAAATATAGAGTTACCATTTAATTCAGCAATTCTACTCCTACATATGTACCCAAAATAATTAAAAGTATACATAGGAAAAGACTATATACGAGTTTTCACAGCAACATTATTAATAATAGCCAACAAGCAGAAACAATCCAAATGACCATCAACTGATGAATGGGTAAGTAAAATGTGGTATATCATACAATGGAATATTATTTAGTCACAAAAAGGAATGCAGTACTGATATGTGCTACAACACAGATGAGCCTTGACAACATTATGCTCAGTGAAGAAAAGCCAGCCACAAAAGTCCACATATTGTATGATTCTGTTTTTATGAAATATCCAGAATAAGCAACTGATAGAGACAGAAACTAGATTAGTGGTTGCCAAAGGCCACACGGAAAGGGAAGGGGAAACAGGAAGTTTCTGCTAATGGGTAAGGGGTTCCTTTTTAGGGTAATGAAAATGTTCCAAAATTGGATAATAGTATTCGTTGCACAACTCTGTGAACATACTAAAAACCACTGAGTCGTGCATTTTAAAAAAGTCTGTGTTTTAAATATATATACACAGATATACATATATAACCCTCTTTCATATCAGTTATACTTTAATAAAGCTGTTGAAATTTTTAAAATAAAATTTTAAAACAAAGAAAAAATATATAAACTCACCAACAGACCACTTCTCACCTCCACTAGCCCCGCTACTCTAAGTTATCAGCATTTCTGCAAACACATTCCTAACTGATCTCACTGCTTGGAATCTTGCCAGCAACCTCTCCCTCCCAGCAATAGTCTATTGCCTGCACCAAAGCTGAGTTGTCTTTTAATGATGTAAATGAGGTTCTATCATTCTCCTGATCCACACCCTCCACTGCTTTTCATCACACTCAGAGCAGCTCTGCTACCTCTGTTACCTGATTTAGATGTATGGCTCCAACAGATTTCCCTTGAAGAAATGATTCCATGGCTGATAAAAGGTGGAAAGCCTCCTTGGTCTCAAAACCATTATCAGATTAGCTGTGTGCTCTGTCCCTTTCCTCAACCATAAGAAGTCCATGGATAAAGAAAGCTTCAGAGCAAAGGAGAAAGCATGGGAGGAAGAGCAGGACGAAGGTGGGGCATCTGCAGCCCCCACCCTCATCAGAGCCAGTTCCCTACTCTCCCTGTCTAAACCTCTTAGTAAGAGGTAGTTCAAGTGATGGGCAAACTCAATTCCAGCACTCAAAAGCACTTGACTACTTTGCTCAGTTAACTAGCAAGTATTTCTTGAGAATGTAGCTCTGTTCTATGGAGCCTTATTTTCAACTGTCAGACTCCCAGACATCCAGTCCAGGTAAAGAAGATGGTGTCCAATTATTCATTTGACAAACAAATTTGGGGTTCAAGGGCCAGCTATTGAAAAAAGCTATGGAAAACTTCATGAGACGTGCAGGTAACTGCCAATATGTGTGGTTCACAAGGACTGGTTCATACTCAGAAAAGGCCATTAAAAAAGAAAGAAGAACTTCTCATTTGGATTTATAAAGAGTGTCTTACTTACTCTTAATTTATATCTTCTCTTCTCCAGGAAATCAACCTATAACTTCTCCTCTCAGCTCCACTCTACCACGGTCTGTCACCTTCCCCAAACAATTTGTTTCCTTGTTTTCAAAAGTGAATAAAGCACCAAAGACCCAGCAAAGTTTCATAAGGCCCTGAGACTTTCAATTGTCTATTTCAGATCAAATACAGAACATGATCTTCCTCCTGCTAATGTTGAGCCTGGAACTGCAGCTTCACCAGACAGCAGGTAAGAAAGGACAAAGGGAGAGGCTTAAGAAAGAAGAGCAGGTGGTGGCCCCTAGCCAAAGCCAAAAATGAGAATGTGGTCCTCAAGCTGAGGGCTTTCTTTGAGAGGAAATATAATTTCTGGGCTATTCCAAGCACCACAAAAAGAAGAGTCCCCAAAGTGGCTTATATATGCCAATGTCCCTATCTGACAGAAACGAGGACTGAGAATATTGCTCCATATATCCCCACTATCCAGTGAGGGTAATGACAAGAAGACAGGATCATTCAGACCATGTAAATCTAAACTGATACAAGAGGGCAGGGGTTGAGTTCCCTTAAAGGTGAGATGCCAAGTGGCTGTCCCCTTCCTTTCTGGCAGGGAGAGTAAGAAGACAATGGCCAGGGGACACTGTTACTCTAAAGATAATGTCTTGAAGACATTCTGCATATTATTAGTTGTTTTTGTGAGTTTCTCTTTTTTTTTTTTTTTTTTTTTGGGGCGGAGTCTTGCTCTGTCACCCAGGCTGGAGTGCAGTGGCGCGATCTCAGCTCACTGCAAGCTCCACCTCCCGGGTTTACGCCATTCTCCTGCCTCAGCCTCCCGAGTAGCTGGGACTACAGGCGCCTGCCACCTCGCCCGGCTAGTTTTTTTGTATTTTTTAGTAGAGACGGGGTTTCACTGTGTTAGCCGGGATGGTCTCGATCTCCTGACCTCGATCCGCCCGTCTCGGCCTCCCAAAGTGCTGGGATTACAGGCTTGAGCCACCGCGCCCGGCATGAGTTTCTCTTTTGAAAAGCAACAGTAGCAGCCACTGGTCATTCATACCTTAATGTGGTTTACTGAGTCTTCCTAAAACCCAAATGAACAATGAACCTTAAGGCTATCCCTTTGAACTTGAAGAAAGGACTTCTATTGGAGGATGAGGGTGAGCAGGAAGAAAAGCAGTTTCACAGTTGGTTGTTCTCCTGGGGAAGGTAGTTCAGACCATTCGAGGGTGTAGTTAGGACCATGAGTGTACTATTTTGGATGAACACCAAGAGGTAAGAGAGTGAGATAGAGGTGGGGACAGAGGATTAAGTCCTCAAGATAGTAGCCCCAGCCCCATGGGAAATCATCTTTCTGCTCATGATTGAGAAATAATGGCTCCCTTGGCACTTGATAACCTTTCGAAGAGCTTTCTCCTCCCTACTGACTTGTTCCAGATCACTCTTTACTCAGTCACATTCCTCTCACTCCCTTGAGCTGCCCAGCCTGGTCTGGTACTAGAGACATGCACTTGGGGCCCTCCTCAAAGGAAGACCCTGAGATATTCTGCTTACTTCTACTCTGCTCCTGCCTGCAGGGCCAGCTAAAGGAACTTTTCACGTTTTCTTTGCAAGGAACCCTGCCTGGCAGGAATTTTAGAGACAAGCAAAAGGGGCAAATACTTCCATGCTACAAAACAGCTTCAAGTTTCTGTAGAGTGATAAGGGAAATGAGGGCCAAAAGACACTGCAGTTCCCCATCCTGTGGCAGGACTGGGGGCTTCAGGAAAAAACTTGGGGAACGTGTAACCTCTGTGGGTTTGTCCTTAAAAACATTGAGATCCTGGGTTTTCTGTCTTTGTTTTTTGCCTTCTCTCTTAGGAAAGGAGTGAGCTAGGGTGACAAGGAGCAATATTTTTTAGTCCTCATTGGCTCTTTCTACGGAGGAAGGATCTTTTCTTCTAAGATAATCAGCACGAGACAATGAAGATAGGCGCTAGCTCCCAGTTAGGTATACTAATGGGCAAAAGGAAGAGCATTTACATTTATTGAGAATTCACTAAATGCCAGATACCGTGCTAGAAAATTTACAAATGGTATAGTTCATTTAATCTTCACAATGATCATTTTGCAGCTGAGGGAACTAGAACTCAGAAAAGGTACTTAATTTCCCCAAGATTACATAGTTATTAGGTGACACAGGCAAGATTTCCACAAAGCTAATGTCCTTTCTACCCTACTGTGCTACCATAATGATGGTAATCAAAAATGGCAGACAATCCATAAATCTTCCAACTTTGGAATCGGTTTTTGCACTGAAGTCTGAACATGGATATGTATTGAATGTTTATTCTGGACATTCACAGAATCAAAAATATGTGTAATGAATTGTGTTGCTGAATTAACTGAAAGGAAAGTAAAAATGTAGCACTTTCTCACTTTCTTCACAAATTTGGAATTCTTCTCTGCTTTCCACTATGCAGATAACATCAGTTCAAACAAATATTAAATACCTACCTAAATTAGAATGCCTTCTCCTCAGGATATTTTTTTAAAAATCTTGTCATTTCATGTCTCTTTAATTAAAGAGTTTTGATTTCAGAAGAGGGTACCTGAAAAAGAAAACAACAAAAAAACTAAAGAATCTGAGAAATAATTAGTGTTTACTGCTGGGGAGGAGGTCTGGATCTTATCTATTATGTATATTCAGGTTTTGTTTTTTTTTTTTTTACAAGAAGCATGTATTAGGTATTATTTGTATAATAAAATATAATTTTAAAAATACAAGAAATTTCTCATATAAAAATATGAGAGTAATCAGACTGCAACACCCAGTGCCTGAGAGGGAGCTACAGCTATCAGGCTGGCCAGACAGACAGAGGATTACATTTTCTTCCTTGCTCCTTGTACAGCCCCAGACCTGCATGCTTCATTGAAAAGAAAAGAAGATACATGAATTGAATCAATATGATGCTTAGTACCCTATCGGTGCCCATTTCTTTTCTATTTTTAAATTTTAAAAATAACACCTGGCCAGGCACAGTGACTCACGCCTATAATCCCAGCACTTTGGGAGGCCAAGGCAGGTGGATCACCTCAGATCAGGAGTTTGAGACCAGCCTGGCCAACATGGTGAAACCCCTCTCTACTAAAAATTAAAAAAAAAATTAGCCGGGCATGGTGGCAGCCACCTGTAATCCGAGCTACTCAGCTGAAGCAGAAAAATCGCTCGAACCTGGGAGGCAGAGGTTGCAGTGAGCTAAGATCACGCCACTGTACTCCAGCCTGGGTGACAGAGTGAGATTCCGTTAAAAAAACAAGCAAACAAAAAAAACACTTATGTTGGTATTCTCAGACATTACAAATAAATAAAAACAACCCAAGTGCCCTGGAGAATTTGATTCTAGGAGTAGGTCTAGAAGAACTTCAACTGGAGAATGGATATAGAAATCATGGTATATTTACAGAATATATATATATTATATATGTAATACATAGCATGTGAATAAATTAATTACAAAAAATTAATTACAAAAAATATGATTACATTTATTATATAGCATGTAGATAAATTACAAAAACATGTGACTACATCTATGAATCTTAGAGCATAATGTTGAGTAAAAAACTAAATAAATAAAAATTAAGCCCAGAAGATAACATATAGCACAACGTCCTTTTCATAAATAAATATATTGCTTAAGCATACCTTATATATAGAAGATAAAGCTTAAAAAGTAAAAAAGAGGCCGGGTGTGGAGGCTCACGCCTGTAATCCCATCACTTTGGGAGGCTGAGGCGGGCAGATCACGAGGTCAGGAGACCGAGACCATCCTGGCCCGCATGGTGAAACCTCATCTCTACAAAAAATACAACAATTAGCCGGGCGTAGTGGCACATGCCTGTAATCCCAGCTACTCGGGAGGCTGAGGCAGGAGAATCCCTTGAACCAGGGAGTCGGAGGTGGCGGTGAGCCAAGATTGCGCCACTGCATTCCAGCCTGGGCGACAGAGTGAGACTCCATCTCAAAAAACACAAAAGTAAAGAAGAGATTGATAAGCCCAATATTCAGGATGCCAATTACCTCTGGTACAGGCAGTAGATATACATTATTAGTAATGTGCTAGTTCTTAAGGTAGGTGGTAGGTTCACAGATGTTCATTTTACTTAATTAAATATATTTTGAAAATTTATTTAAAGCTTTCTGTGGTAAAATATATCACAGAGAAAACCACATAAAACGACTATAAAGTTTAACATTACTATAAGGTGATTAGTTTTGTAACCACCACCTAGGTTAAGAAGGAGAATTTTGCCAGTTCCCCAGAAATGCTTCACCTACCCCAGCCCAGTAAAACCTCCTTTGCAAATACTCTTCATAGTGCTAGCCAATATGCTTTTTATTTTTACCTTTTTTAAATTAAAACAAAACTTTTTAGGGACAGTGTCTTGCTCTGTCATCCATGCTGGCGTACAGTGGCCCAACCACAGCTCACCGCAGCCTCTAACTCCCGGGATCAAGCGATTCTCCTGCCTCAGTCTCCTGAGTAGCTAGGACTACAGGCATGTACCACCCTGTCTGGCTAATTTTTAAAATATTTTTAGTGATGGGGTCTTGCTATGTTACACAGGCTGGCCTCAAACTGCTCGTCTCAAGCAATCCTCCTGCCCTAGCCTCCCAAAGCAATGAGATCACAGGTGTGCGCCACCACTCTCAGATTGCCCTTTATTTTTTCATGAAAGAAATTACTGAAGAGGACTAAAAGAAGTTTTAGTAAGCATTCAATAAACGTATGTTCTTTATAGTTTCCAAATCAGTAAATATAGACATCCCTCATTTTTAAGTAGATTTATGTATTTTATTGGACATGCTGTAATTTATTTAACCAGTTCCCTATTGGTAGACATTATAATTATTTCCATTTTCTTCTGTTAGATTAATGCTTGAAAAAAGTGTGTGCCTCCCAAAGACTATGATGAAAGTTGCCTCTGAATAAAACTCAAACAAACCATTAATCATTAATTCTTTCCTTACTTGTACGCTCTTTGGATGCTCTACTATGTTATCTATAAAATAAAGTTTGAAGTGAAAAATTAGGGTAAAACATTTTATATCATTTTTAAAGGAGGTATATATGGATGTACTTACATATGTATGTTTAAATTTACATACCATAACATTTTTTTTTTAAAAAAACATCTTATTAATTTTAACAAATCCTTAGTCATATAACTACCACCACCACAGTGAACATCCAGGACAGTTCCATCCCTTGCCAAACAAACAAACAGAAAGCTTCTCCTAAGTCTTAAGTCCAGACACCTACTGATCTATTTTCTATCCTTATAGTTTTGACTTTTCCAGAATGTCATATAAATGTAATAATTCATTAGATATCCTTTTGTATCTGGCTTCTTTCACTTAACATAAAGCATTTGAAATTCATTCATATTGTGTGAATCAACAATTTATACCTTTTTGCTGTTGAGTATATTCTATTGTATGTATACTATATTTTGTTTATAAATTCCCCAGTTGGGGAACATTTGGGTATTTCCCATTTTGGGTGATTACAAATAAAGTTATTATAAATATTTGCATATAGGTTTTTTGTGTGAACCTAGGTTTTCATTTCACTTGGATAAATACCTAGAAGTGGGATTGCTAGGTCATGTGGTAAGTGTATGGTTTATTATAAGAAACTGCCAAACCTTTCCATAGTGGCTGTAGCATTATTGCATTCCCACCAGCAAGTGTATGAGAGTTCTAATTGTTCCTCATTCTTGCCAGCACTGGTATTCTTTTCTATTTTTTCTTTTCTTTTATTTATTTTTTTTTTATTTTTTGAGACAGAGTCTTGCTCTGTCACCCAGGCTGGAGTGCAATGCCATGATCTTGCCTTACTGCAACCTCCACCTCCCGGGTTCAGGCAATTCTCCTGCCTCAGCCTCCCAAGTAGCTGGGATTACAGGCATCCACAACCACGCCCTGCTAATTTTTTGTATTTTTAGTAGAGACAGGGTTTTGCCATATTGACCAGGCTGGTCTTGAACTCCTGACCTCAGGTGATCCACCCACCTTGGCCTCCCAAAGTGCTGGGATTACAGGCATGAGCCACCACACCCCGCTCTTAAGTCATTCTAATAGGTGTGTAGAAGTGGTTCTAATTTGCATTTTCCTAATGACTAATGATATTAAGTATACATTTATTTATATATTATTTTATATATAATCTTATATAGTATACATATTTTATTTTATATATGTGTGTTTTGTATACACACACACACACATATTTTTTTTTCTTTTTTTGAGACGGGGTATCACTCTGTTGCCAAGATTGGAATGCAGTGGTACAATCGTAGCTCACTGCAGCCTCAACCTCTCAGGCTCAAGCGATTCTCCCACCTCAGCCTCTGTAGTAGCTGGGACTACAGGCCATGCCACCATGCCTGGCTAATTTTTTTTTTTTAATTTTGTAGAGATGGGATCTCCTTGTGTTTCCCAGGCCAGTCTCAAACTCCTGGACTCAAGTGATCCTCTTGCCTCTGCCTCCCAAAGTGCTGGGATTACAGGCATATGCCACTGAACCTGGCCTTAGTTAAGTTTTTATGTACTTATTGTATATCTTCTTTGGTGACATTCAAATCATTTCACCCTTTGTAATTGTATACTAAGGAATTAAATAATTGTTTAATTGTTGTTTATTTTCTTATTGTAAGGTTTTAAAAGTTCTCTTTTTTTTTTGAGATGCAGTCTTGCTCTGTTGCCCAGGTTGGAGTTCAGTGTCCTGGCTCACTACAGCCTCTGCCTCCCAAGTTCAAGCGATTCTCCAGCCTCAGCTTCTTGAGTGGCTGCAATTACAGGCATGTACCACCATGCTTGGCTAATGTTTGTATTTTCAGTAGAGTTGGAGTTTCACCATGTTGGCCAGGCTGTCTCAAACCCCTGACCTCAAGTGGCCCACCCACCTTGGCCTCCCAAAGTGCTGGGATTACAGGTGTGAGCCACTGCCCCAACCTTAAGAGTTCTTTATTCCAGACACAAATTATTTATCAGATATTGATTTTCAAATATTCTTTTGAAGTCTGTAGCTTGTCTTTTCATTTTCTTAACTGTGCTTTTGCAGAGCAAAGATTTTAATTTTGATGAAGTTTGATTTATCAATTTTTCTTTTATGGATCATGCTCTTGGTATCACATCCAAAAACTCTTTGCATAACCCAAGATGTAAAGAATTGTCTTCTATGTTTTCTTCTACACATTTTGTAATTGTATATTCTATATGTAAGGTTTATAATCCATTTTAATTTTTATATAAAGTGGGATGTATAGGTTAAGCTCATTTTAGTTTTACATGTAGATGTTCAGTTGTTCCAGCCCCATTTGTCAAAAAAACCCATCCTTTCCCCATTCAATAGCCTTTGAATCTTCATCAGAATCAATTAGTCATATTTATGTGGGTCTATTTCTGGACTTTCTATTCCATTGACCTATGTGTATATCCTTTTGCAAATATCACACTGATATTTGTTTTTTTCTTACCTTTTTATTTCAAAATCTAAGGACATCTTATAACCCAGAAATATTTTTTATACCTTGTCATGTCTTAGAGGAAAGACTGGTCTTTCTTTTTTCATTGATGTTTTTCTTCTCTCTTCATACTCCAGAGGTAGATGAAAACCAGGGGGACCACAATGACCATGGTGATGTCTGAGGTCATTCTGGGGCACAGACCTCAGCCTGGGTTACTCCACTTGGCCTATCTTTAGATCCAAAACTACTTCTGCTGACTGCTGAGATATACAAAGGAGAAGAATTAGGTTGGGGAAAGGATTTCTATGCTAAAACGTGTCTCCATGCAGTCCTCCTACACTGAGCAGAACATGAGTCAGGTGCATAGAGCAGAATTTTGTCCTAAACCAGGAACTTCAGGGTTTTCTGAAGAATGTGGCTATGTAAAGCACCTCCCACCCCACCCGTACTTCTCAAGTACATTATGTGGCAAGTCTGAAAAAACTTACACTTCTGTTGTTAAATGTGGGGGATAAAATATAAACTTAGCTTAAAGAGGAAGCTGTCTTGGGCAATGCAAATGATTTATTGTGTGAAAGTTTCTTGAAGATGTGACAGGTGCTGACTACCATTGATGCCTGGTTGCAATAAAATGCAAAGCTCCCTCAAGAATTTTTGAAATGCATCAAGTTAAGTGTTCTAATCTAGCAAAAGTACCTGCATGTATAAATTTTTCATGCTTTTGCCAAGTGTTTTGCCCTTTAGTTTAGTTAAGGGCCCCAAATGAATGGAAAGCCTGTGTTGTCTGCTTAATTTTGTAGCTGTGGAAACCTTCCAGTTTTGTCCTTTGTCTAATACCTTCAGGAGCTCAATGCTAGATTGAAGCTTAATTTAATAACCATGTGGCATGTAAAATAGAAAACCAAACATCTTTTCCTTAACATACAGCAAAAAAAACAAAACAACAACAAAAAAAAACACCTCACTCATGGATGTAGTGTACACATGCCAATGGATATATAGTCATAACTGCAGTCATTGGTAGCACAGAAATAAATATGCATTGAAGACACAGAGATGAATTTGAATTCTGGTTCCATGAGCTACCATTCTTTGACCTTGGGCAAGTTACATCACTTCTTTAAGTCTCAGTTTCCCCATCTGTAAAATGTGGATAGCAACATCTACCTTGCAGAGTTGTTGGGAGCATGAAATGAAATGATGGGCTAGCCCAGTGTCTGACTTACTGCATTTAAGAAATATCAACTATTACTCTACTTCCCAGTGACAGTCCAAATGCAGACCAATGTTATAACTCTACTTCTCGAACATTAATATGCATGCACATCACGGTGACCTTGTTAAATGCAGATCCTGATTCTCTAGGTCTGGGGTAGGCCTGAAATTCTGCACTTCTACCTAGCTTCCAGGTGAAGCTGAGGACAACACTTTGAAGGGCAAGGTGGTAAAAGATGTTTGCAAGTGCAAATGTTAATTTGTGTAACTAATGGTTCCCAATACTGTCTGCACATGAGAAGCTCCCAGGAAAGGAAAATTTTTAATGATGCTGACCTCATCCCCAAAATAATTTAATTTTAACAGATCCAAAGTAGTGTCTGGACATTAGTGTGTTTTAAAAGCCTCCCAGGTGATTCCAATGTTAGCCAAGATTGAGGGCCTCTGCTTAATGAATCTTATTTGTAGCTGGGCTTGAGAAAAAAACCTCTTCATAGAATTCTTTCCAACAGTGTTTTGATTGACTCTGTAACTTACAATAAGCAAGAATGTTTCAGGATTTCAAAAATGTATTGCATTTCCTAAACCCCTTATTTTGTATGGAGTAATCAAGCTCAAAATTTGCACGTCTTAGAAACTTTACTTGGGGCAAAATTAGACCAAATAACAATTAATCTTCTAGGTATTCTGAGCTATTCAGACACATGATTCATGTTTGCTAATTGCTGTTCTCTCTTGTAAATATTAGCTGAAAAATGTCGCCTGTCTGAAAAGGAGCATACTTTATGCCTATCACTCCTGGCACATATTCTTACAAAGCAGACAGGAAAAACAGGAAGAAAATGGACTTTTATCAAAGGCCCAGGCAGTAAAGAGGGGAGTTCTGCTGTAAACTAAGGGGAGTTCCAGAGGAAGTTATAGGCGTTCCCTTTCTCATGAAATGAAAGCATAGTGCAGTAAATAAATTTGCTAAATAGATTCAACAGAGTCTCTACCCAAAGTCATCTATTTAATTCTTGTTGTTACGCAGACTCAGCAACTAACCTTCCTTGTAAGTCCCATTTTCTTCCCTGTTTCCTATGTGTCATATGTAATTAAACAAGAGAAGAATTATAGAAAAGTAAAAGTAGTAGGTAATTCTTGAACTTGGCATATGATTACTACATATTTGATGAATAGTTGAATATTATTCTTCAAGGACAGATTGGATTTGATATCAGGTGGCTCTGCATTAAGTTATAAGGGACTTAATAACTCAAGTATTTAAGGATGGCTTCCATCATAAAGGGATCTGCCCTGAAGAGGGTCCCATTACGGAGATTCCGAGGTGGGAGCTATTCCAAGTGTGCAGTGGAATAAAAGAATCATACAGGAAATCTCTTTTTACATGCATTATTTCAGGTTCTTTGCAACCTGGCACAGCAAGTGCAGATATGATTAGCACTGTTGTACACACATACACTCACCTTATAGCCCTGCCCCTGTGCAACCTCCTGCACAAAAGAATGCTGGGCACACATGAACTCCTCTCTGTAGAAAGGCACATTAATGTTCTAGCCATAGTTAAAACAGGGAATAGAGGCAAGCTATAAATGTTGGTCATTTGAAATAAATCTCAGGTTTGTGGATATCACTATCAAGTGTGCTGTGTGGCAATTAAGAAGGTCAATTTGTGTGATCACAGGCAAGTTGCAGTTTGACTAAAGGAAAGCAGAGGTGAATATATAACCAGGGTCATCCTTTCTTTCTCCCTCTCTCTCTTTCTGTCATTTATTTGCCAAGCTCTTAACTAGAACTTGGTATGTACTACATACTGGATATATCAAAGCAAACTCAGCCTGGTCTTTGCCTTCAAAGATTTGCAGGATAGTGGGAAGAAAAACTTGAATCAGAGGACAACTGCAATGGGAATCATTCAAGCAGCAGAAAACCCAAAAGTTACTTATACTGTGAAATCTGATCAGAGAATGGACTGTCCTGGTTAGTAAAATATCCTGGAGGATAAAGATTGACCATGCATTCCACATATTAATTACCACTTTCCCAAGAATTAAAGATACGAAAGAAAGGAACGAACATTTGCTGAGTGCTTACTGCCTGACAGATCTAGGCACTTCACATGTAACACCTCGTCCAGCCTCCACCATAATACTGAGAGGTAGAGTCCAACCTCATTTTATAGATAAGGAGGCTGAAGCTCACAGAGATTAAAGGATGGACTCACAGTCAAAGGACTTCTAATTCTGATAGTCAGCATTTGAACCCAGGCTCACCTGTCACTATATCCTATGCTCTTGCATATCACATTTTATACTGAAACAACTTCTTGCATAGCTAATGCTTAGAGGAAGTCCCCAAATATTTGTTGAATGAATGATTTGATTGAATGAACGAATGAAGCTCTACTGAACATAATTTGATCTAATCTTCTGTGATTATTCCAAAACTACTTCAAGATTTTCCTATATCTCCATCACAATGAATACCCATTCATTAATGATGGAAGCAGCCTAATTTTGTCATTTTTCACACTTTATTGATGTAAACACTACCTTTACTAGTTTGGCCACTCCTTATGCATTTTTATAGAACTATTTAGATCAATTCAACTTTTAAAAAATAAAACCATATACCCCTGTGGTAGATAAAAAACAAGTATCATTTGCACTGGTAAATAGAGAATAGGAAGAAAAATAAACGCAATGAAAATAAAGCAGTGTTATCAAATCCTACCCAGATACTGTTATCTGCCTGGAAGGTTCCTGTTTGATTAAAAGGAAAAATTGCCAGTGTTAGAGGTGTGGAAGTCTAGTTGCAAATTATATACAATTGAAGGAAATATAATTGAAAAGGGAACAAATTCCTCTCTGAATAATTTAACTCCCTTTAGGCTTTGATTCTGCCTCAACTAAAATCATCTTACATACTTCTAGTGGCGTGTCCCTCACATTTTGGTAAACACTGAGTGGAAACCACAGATTCTGAAGTCAAACATCTGACTGGCTCTGGATTTTAAATTTACTAATGCATGTCCTGAAGTGAACTGCTTGGAGCCAGTTTCCTCAACTATATAACCATAATGACAAAACATGTTTCATGGTCATGTTTTCAGTATTAAACAATATAGTTAAAAGTTCCTACTACAGTGCCTGGCGTGGTACATACTAGGTATACATTAAATATCACTTCCATTTTTCCTTTCCCTTTATTGTTAGAAAATAGAAAGCATCTACAGTGGGCTTGTATGATGTGGTGGTTAGAAATACCTGATCTGATTCTGGCTGTGCAATCTTAGGCAAGTTACTTAACCTTTTTGTGCCTCATTTTTGTTTTCTGAAAAACAAAAAGGATAGAATATTATTACCTACCTTGCTGGCTTCTAGGAAGACTCAGTGAGACAATGTGTTAGCAGAGTGTCTGATAATTGTAAGAACTCAACAAGTAATAGTTATTATCACCATCACTGGTGAGAGGAAGTGATATTTGGCAGGAAAATATATAAATTAATCAATATGGATTGAGGAAAATGAACCTGGAGAATAGGATGTGAAGGTATTTAAGTAACATGAGCTCAGAGCTTGATGGTAGGGAAGTCGTAAGGAAGCATTTTGTTCTTATATGACATACGACCTGGAAGGACCGTAGGGCTCAGGGGGTCAGGGACTGGAGGTGGGAGAGGCCTCTGAGAGCAAGCAGTGTTGTCCACCAGAAGCTCTTGCTGGGGTGCCCAGAGAGGAGCAAAGGGCAGTCAGCTGCCCAGGAGGGAATGTTTGGAGGAGAGAGCTACCTCAGATCAGCGGGTCAAGAATCCCACTCTTGCCCAGATGGATGGGGCAAAGGAGAGAAAGGATTCGCCAAGGGAATGTCGAGATAATGACAGGTGCCTTTTGGAAAATGGGGGTGAGATGGGTCTCAGGTCACACTTTGTAAGAACTGGAATGTAAAGTAAAGGCAGACAATGGCAAAATATCTTGTTTTCTTTTCAGCTTTATTCACAGTGACAGTCCCTAAGGAACTGTACATAATAGAGCATGGCAGCAATGTGACCCTGGAATGCAACTTTGACACTGGAAGTCATGTGAACCTTGGAGCAATAACAGCCAGTTTGCAAAAGGTGGAAAATGATACATCCCCACACCGTGAAAGAGCCACTTTGCTGGAGGAGCAGCTGTCCCTAGGGAAGGCCTTGTTCCACATACCTCAAGTCCAAGTGAGGGACGAAGGACAGTACCAATGCATAATCATCTATGGGGTTGCCTGGGACTACAAGTACCTGACTCTGAAAGTCAAAGGTGAGTGGTGTCAAGGACTAGAATCCATGGAAGCATCTCTCCAACAGAGGACCTGCAAGTCACAGAAACCCATTAAAGGTAGCTCAAGCAAAAACAAGAAGGCTGCTTTTAAGGAGACAGAGCTATTTCAGAGAAAACGAAAGCATCTGCTCGGAAATAATTTTTGACATCTGAGTACAAAGCAGCTGAAGTACAAGTGAAAGGAGGTAGGAGCTATAGGAATAAAATGGGACTGGAGGAAGCCAGGAAAATTAGTCCTTGAAATGTGGGAGGGTTTGAAAAATAAGCTTTGCCTAATTCACAGTTCTCCCATGGAACATCCCTGACTTGATTATTAAGGTACTCTTTTTCAATAGTTTATACCCTGAATCCAGAGTTTTTAAAACCATGGTTTGCTACCCATTAGTGAATTAAAATATCAGTTTAGTGAGTAGCAACCAGATGCATGTTTCCCACCCTTTAAAAAATAATGAATAGAAGAGAATAGATAGAGTAGATCAGAAGACATCCCAGAGTAGTACTGAGTACTGTAAAACTACTTTCTGAGGGGTGTGTGTGTGTGTGTGTGTTAGGTCATGGTATAAAATTTTTTTTCTTACTTTGGATCATAAAAAAGTTACAAGTTTGGAAAACACTGCTCAAACGCAAGCCCTATTTATTGCAGATGAAGTAGCTGAGATCCAGTAAAGGGTAGTGGGTAGCCCAAGAGAGTCCCATGAAGTCTATAGCTGTCCCTGTTCCTCTGGATTCAGGTACCTCTGCACCCCAGTACAAGTCAAAACCCTAAATATAGAGAGAATCTTCACACTCTTGTTTGTTCTAGAAAAGGTGATTTGGGGAAAGACATATGACAACTATAAAAAATGGATTTTGCTTGTTCATTGGCTTATGGTCTCCGGGCTTGAGTGCTCTGAGATACACGATGCCAATATTTCTCTGGCCTCTCCCCTCACACGCATTGGACCTCAGATGGTCTATACTGTCTTCTAGAGGGTCTGTGGGTTTTGGCCCCAAAAAACCATTAACCTTGGCAGAAGTGTGTGACTTTATGATCTGGTACAAAGAAGGACAAACTAGAGGGACTGGACATGTGGATGAATTTGTGTTCACCCTTGTCCTTGGGCAGGTTATTTTGCCTTTCATAACCTCACATTTTGCTTATTTGTAGAAGAACAACAATAGTAGTACCAACCACACAGGATTTTTGTCAACATTGAGAGAGATAATGAACATAAAGAACTGAGCATGGTACCTGGCATATAATAAGGGTCCACAGAGTTGGTTAAAAGACCCTCAGTTGTTACAGGGACAGTGACCTCCTCACACCTCAACCATCAGTGAGTCACCAGGAAAGCCATTAGCCTAGATATAACTGTTTTCTATCTTTATTGCATTTCCTACATCCAGGCAGCAGCTGAGAGGAACTCTAGAATACTGAAGTTAGTCTGAGTTCCCTTAATGTAAGGCTGTACATTCTCAGGATGCCTTGATGTACTCAAATATCTGCAACCCTAAATCACCACCTCTGTGTTTATTGATCTCTATCTGAACACTGTATTAATGGGCCAGGCCTTCTGCCCATTCTCTCAAGCTGAGGACTGTCTCTCATTCCTGGGGAGGCACCCTGCCTACTCCTTACCTAGACCAGGGATTTCTCAGTTGTGGAGAGATTTGTTCCTTATAGTGTTGGTCATCAAACTGGGATATTTGGGGATTACAAAGACTTTTCAAGAAATGTATGGGCACAGGCAGTTTTAGGAAGTGAGTTTCCAGATCCTCATGTTCCCCAAATACTCCTTCCCAAAATTGATGAGCCTGAGAATGTGCACGCCAGGCAAGGCTCTTGGGATTCCCCTGAAACACTTCCTCTTGTAAGCCTACCACTCACTCATCATTTATACAGTCCATTGTCCCGGGGTGTAAAACCCTCTATAGTGTTAAACAAAAGAATGATTGGGAACATTGACACCTGATGGAACTGGTATGACTAAAAACCCTTTTGCAAATAATGTGGTATCAAATTTTCTGCTTTCAACAACATTGAAGGAGGCTCTTATAAAGTTAATAGCTGATAATCAAAAATGAGTAATTTTTGCCATGTAAACCAGGTCAAAGAATGAAATGACATTGCTATAACAAAACTGCTACCATTCCCATTGATTTACTCATATAAACAAGATTCCTTAGCCCTTATAAGCTACAAAAAAATGAAAAATAGAAATAGAATTGATGCTGAATTCTATTATATAGAATCATTCCAACCATGTCATATGCTTCTTCAGATTCATGAATAATTTGAAAAAGACAGCCATATCCATCTTATTAAGAGACACATTTCCAATAAATTTTCATCTTTCATGTTTAATAATTATCAATATTCATAACATTTTACATTTTGACCAAATATGTGTTAATAATAATAGAAATTAGATCTCAATGCAGAAAACCTTGAACACTTAATGCTTCATAGTCACAAGAGAAAAGTTTTAATTTCAATAACTATAAATATTTTGTTGTTGTAAAGACATATAACAATAATCAATGCAAAATCTGTCAAACAAAAATATGTTACATTAAGACAAAATTCTGTAGGGAAGGTGAAATTGGAAGTGAGGTTCAATGAATGAAAAGAAACAATTTAGATAGTTAGAGAAGAATTTTTTCATTTAATAATTTATTTATTTTTACTTAGAGGGAATTGAATTCATTAAGTTCCTTACCTTATAAAGCCTCTCTTATTTGTCTTAATTATTTATTCTCTTTTTTTCCACATTTTCCAGTCTCATTCCCCTTTTTTAACACAGGAAATTATTCCAGCATGTTTCATACATATTCTTTTGTTTGTAAGAGCTTATTTAAAATATGTAATATTGTTTTAGATGCATATTTTTTTTCTTGTGGAAACTATATTGTATTATGTACATATATTTTAGAAATTGACACATTAACTAAGTTTATTGTGGAAAGATGATTACAAGCAATAACAGACACACAGTAGAAAAAAATCTGAAGTTATGTGCACCTTCTTTTGAGACCTTTTTTTGGGTATATGTGAAATGTATTTTATCTTTTTTTAAATTGACAATAATTGTACATATTTATGGGGTACCTAGTGATGTTTCAATACTTACAATGGATAGTGATCAGATTGGGGTAATTAGCATATTCATCATCTCAAATATTTATCATTTCTTTGTGTTGAGAACATTCCATGTCCTCCTTCTAGCTATTTGAAACTATATACTGTTGTTAAATATTTGTATGTATTTTTCAAGGATGATGTTGTATATAAAAGATAACTTATTTTATATTTAGATACCTTTGGATACATATGTAAGAGTAAAATAATTGTTTTACTAAAAAAATTCATAAGATGCTGAACATTATATGTTTTTCCAGTATAGAAACCTATGAAAAATTCTAAGAATCAACTTAATAGGTGAGAAGAGCATACTGTATCATAATTATTTTAGGAGGAAACAATAAAAAAGTTGAAGACCATCACTAAGAGTAGGCTACCCTGATCCAGGGTCTCTATAAGAAGCAAGATAGATCTGGGGCCCCAGTGAGGGTTCCAATGAATGAAGCAGGACTAGAAGAAGGACATGTTTTTATCTTAAAATGCCTGATCCATGGCATAAAGCTTGAAAATGGGTTTGTTTATAGCACCTTCGTTGACGTCTGGGCAGAAATTCACATCAAATATAGTGAAAAGAGTTAATTTGAAAAGGACAGAAAAAATTATGAGGTGGAATGACTGGAGATTCTGGAAGAGACAGTGATAAAGGATTGTGGTTTCTGAAAAGCCAGGTGGCATCTACATTACTGGGGGCAATCCATCTGAGGAAGGGGCGAGAGCATGGCCAAAGAACAGAGAGGCCCCAGGAACCCAGGGGTCTCTCAGAGGAGCTGGGGTTGAGAACTGGTCTGTGCAAAGGTTTCCAGACAGGGTCACAGAGGAGGCACTAAAAACAAGAACACCAAGGGCCAAACCATCCTGAAGGCCTGGGCAGGTCAGGAGAATGGGAAGAGCCAACACCAGGAATGTGCTGAAGCTTACAGAAGTACTTCAAACCAGAAACAATGAATTTAAACTATGCCCTACAACAAATAGACTTAACAGATACTTACAGAACATTCTACTCAACAATTGCAGAATATACATTCTATTCATCAGCATATGGAACATTCTCCAAGATAGACCATATAATAGGCCACAAAACAAGTCTCAGTAAATTTAAGAAAATCAAAATTATATCAAGTACTCTCTTAGATCACAGTGGAGTAAAACTGGAAATCAACTCCAAAAGGAACCTTCAAAACCATGAAAATACATGGATGTTAAATAATGAATGATCACTGGGTGAACAATGAAATCAAGTTAGAAATAAAAAACTCTTTGAACTGAACGATAATAGTGATACAACCTATCAAAACTCTGGGATACAGCAAAAGCAGTGCTAAGAGAAACGTTCATAGCATTAAATGCCTACATCAAAAAGTCTGAAAGAGCACAAGTAGGCAATCTAAGGTCACACCTCCTGGAGCTGGAGAAACAAGAACAATCCAAACCCAAACCCAGCAGAAGAAAAGAAATTACAAAGATCAGGGCATAACTAAATGAAATTGAAACAAAAAAATACAAAAGAGAAATTAAACAAAAATCTGTTTATTTGAAAAGATAAATAAAATTGATAACCAAGAAAAGAAGAGAGAAGATCCAAATAATCTCAATTAGAAACAAAATGGAGATATTACTACTGATATCACGGAAATACAAAAGATTATTCAAGGCCACCATGAATACCTTTACATGTATAAACTAGAAAAGCTAGAGGACACGGATACATTCCTGAAATACACAACCCTCCTAGATTAAACCAGGAAGATATAGAAACTATAAACAGATCAATAACAAGCAGCAAGATTGAATGGTAACTTTTAAAATTGTCAACAAAAAAAAGTCCAGGACCAGACAGATTCACAGCTGAATTCTATCA